TCTAAATGATTTTCCGATCTACATATGCAAATATTATATGTATATAACAGTACTATACAAGTTAACAGCTACTTTGCGTGGCTGATATTTTATATGAACATATCATCATAGGGTCTTCTCAATATATTAATATAGAATACAATATCATGTTCGAGTATGTATATATATACATATACTCAATACCAACATGAAGATTAATAATTTATAGCTCATGTATCAATGATTAATAATTAGTTAGTAGCTATCTAGAAACTGTGAAGGCATCAAAACGGTAGCTGGCAGAGTTCAAACTATAGATTCCCTCTTTGTTACTACTCTTTTAGTTGGCTCAAATATAATTTAGATGCCTTAATTACTCATTGTCATAGCTTGATCCAATGAATATTGGTGGGTGTATTTTGAGACAATTTAGGAGATATTTTGGATTTTCTAAAATCAAAAAAAGATTTTATGATATTTTGAAAATTTTATAAGATCTTTCAAGAAAATGTCATAAGATCTTATTCTCCACAAAAATATGGCTTTTTGATTACGCACCATGGTTAAGTTTATAAAAATCCCACAAGAGCATAACATTAATCTTGTTGTTCAATTCAAAAAAAAAGTGGAAGTTAAAATGAAAGTCTTTTTCGTCTTTGTGATGGGTGTAGACTCATTTTTATGTTGAAATGGGGTCGATGTACCTTTTTTCCTTTTTCTATTTTTATGTTTAATCTTTGATCTTCTTTTGTAGGCAATTAACCTCTAGTTAATCTTTTTTTTTTCTTTTTTGCTTCCATTACATGTTTGGATTGCAGAACCTTTTGATGTTAGGCTTCGGAAATTTTTCTTCTAAATTATTTGTTGTAATTCCTTTATATTGTTTCTACTCAAATCTAAATATCATAATATGAATTATTGTCGTCTTCTCCTACCTTTATTCTCTTCTTTCGGATGAAGTAGAAGTAGTTGTTTGTGAAACTCACTTGGTTTTCTTTCTATGAACTTCTTATTACATCTTAAAATACGCTCCTATTTAACATTATTTTTCCAACATTCTCACCACATTTTATATATTTACAAAGCTCAATAACATTTTCAATTAGGCTTTTTTACTTAGTTTTAAATAATTGTTCTAACTCTCAATGTTTTTGAGACCCTTGAGGAATTGTAGTATGATTTTGTTTTCATTCGACACATAAGTGTTTTTGTAGCTTTCTTGTTATTTAAGCCCGTCATTTTTGTTTTTCATTGAGATTTCTGTCACCAATAGATGTTTCTATGCTTTTTAGCTTCGATTTATTTAAAGATTTCAAACTATTTGAGTCATTTAAGTATTTAAGCATTAAGATGTTATCTTTTTTTTTTAACTCTTTTAAGGTTACATTTTACTTGATTATTTCTTATAGGTTGTTGGTTTCTTCATTTCATTACTCTTTATACTTGTTTGTGAAGCTCACTTGATTTTTTTACTGTGAACTTCCTATTATATCTTAAAATAAACTCCTATTTCATATTATTTTTCTAACATTCTCATCACATTTTATATTTTTACAAAGTTCAATAATGCTTTCAATTGGGCTTTTTTGCTTGGTTTTAAATGATTGTTCTAACTCTCTAATTATTTTTAAGACCCTTGAAGAATTGCAATTCGAT